GAGACTGCATTTTGAAGCGTTTGTATGCTAGATGGTAATTTAGTCTTTTGTGGTCTAATAACCTCCTCCACCCTCCGGAGTTCTTTGGGACAAGGAACGGGCTCGAGTAAAAACCTGACCCCTCTTGACCTGCTGGTACTGGTTCTATAGCCCTGATCTCCCGAAGGTGCTGGATCTCTTGCTCCATTAGGGATGGTTTGGCTGGAGAGGAGAGAGTTGGGCAGCGGATGAAGTGGCAGGGAGGGGGGGAAATGAATTCTAGAGTCAGGCCCAGGCGGATTGTTTGAAGTACCCACTGGTCTGACGTGGTCTGCTCCCATTGGTCCTGAAATAAGTGCAGGCGCCCTCCGATGGGAGCCATCAGCTGGCTGTCACTTATAGCGATGGAAAGGCCTAGAGCCTGATCTGCCACAAAAGGGTCGTTTAGAGAAGGATTGCTGACTGGCCCTGTTTCGAAAGTGTTGACAGTCTTGTGACCGGTCTGGTCCCTGACTGTACGGGCGGTGGTACTGACCGATGCTAGTGGACAGTTCTAAAAAATGAAAGGGCTGCTTTGTAAAATAACCAGAGCCTTTGTGCTCTGTTTTCTTGGTGATGGACGGCATAACTTTCTTTTTGTCCTTGTTTTCGACTAGGACAGGGTCCAAGGCCTCCCCGAAAAGCTTCTCTCCTTTAAAGGGGGCAGAGGCCAATTTCCATTTGGACTTCATGTCAGCATTCCAGTGGCGAAGCCACAAGAGCCGCCTGGTGGTGACATTTGAGGCTAGGGCCCTGGAGGTGAACTTAGTGGAGTTGTGGGTGGCATCCACAGTGTATTCTGCTGCCGCTAAGACCTTATTGAACTCCTGCCTCAGTTTGGTGTCACCTGTTGGAAGCTTGGCAGATATTTGTCTGAGCCAGAGGAGAGATGCCCTGGACATGAAAGATGCTGAGGTGGCCGTCTTAATGGCCCAGGTAACCGCCTGATGGGTCTTGTGACATGCCCTCTCTGATCTCTTGTCCTCTGCCTTCAAGCCCTCTAATAGGTCAGGGCGCCAAAATTCAAATCTGCAAAGCGATGGCACGAACGGCTGGGTCCTCACACCATTGGCTGTTGTGCCAAATGCTCAAGTATAGCACAAGCGGCTGGGCCCTCTCGCCGCTGACCACTACGTGAAGATAAAGGGTGATTGCGGTGGCTCCCAAGCCAGCTCGCATTGCCCAGCTGTTTAAAGGGACCGCGTGCGCCCAGAGGAGCCCGGGACAAATGCCGGCAGTAAATAGCAGCAATAGACTCAAATACAAGAACTGAAAGGCAGACCTTATTTCTTTGCAGGATGAAGAAGAATTTGGTTGGAAAGTCCAAGTTAAGGTTAAATTTCTGTTGATAGTCTGGAACCACTTAAAACATGTCCTTTGGCTAGGCTGAAGTGAATAAAATCTGAGGAGCAGGAAGATGAGGCATGGCTAGAGATCTTTCAATTCAGTCCAGGGCAGTCAGGCAGAATTTAACCCATGCTTGGACTCTCCAAGCAGTGTACAGGAAAAAGTAGGAAGACATGGTTTGCTTAGATTAAAGGTAATTAACAATATTTGGCATGCCAGCTTGATATATATTAAAATGGAAAAAAACATATAGGTAAAGCTTTTTTTATTAAAATGTTTAACAGCTAAGCCATTTAAATGAGGTTTTGCCCCAGCTGAGAATCTGCCTTGGTCTTCAGGAGCCTTGCTCCCCAAATTTCTGGCTGTGAGACCCCGTACCTGAAGCTGGGTTCACAAGATCAGTTGGGAGTGTTGCTACTGTACCAGTATCCCTGTTGCATAGCAACCTCCCTGCTTCAGCTGCAGGAGGCCATCTTGGGGCTGGCAATGGAGTTCCCCAGACTTATGGTCCTGGAGAACTTTAATCTATTATTCTTGGTTTTGGTTTTAGAAGCAGCTCAGGAGTTCATGACTACCATGGTAGCCATGGGCCTATCCCAGATCATCTCAGGTCTGGCTCAGGGCAGCAGCCACATGCCAGATATGATTTTCAAGTCGGAGCAATGACAACATGGCCTAGTGGGGGAAGTTGTCTTTTCCCCCCTTGTCATGGTTCAACCATGCCTTGGTGTTCCTGAGATTCTCTTATGCCACCCTCCCTCTGCAGGGAGGTGGGATCCATTCAAGCGGTCCTTCCCCTGCGACTGATGGACCTGAATAGATTCCAGAAGTATCTGGTGGATATCTCAGGGGCTTTGCTGCACAGTCCTGTCGAAACTCTGGTAATGTTCTGCAATCAAAAGACAGCCAAGGCGTTAAACCTTGTTTGTGCCTGTGTACTCTCTTTTAACCCTTCTCTCCGACCCCCTCCCTGTGTTTCATGGAGGAGCTGTAGGTTTAGAAAAGACTTAAAAGATGCCTAGAGAAGGAAGACAAGGGATGACTGTGACTACTACTTACAGCTGCCATTGAGGCCTTTCTCGTGGCAATAAAAGTGGCAAAACATTTCCCCACTTTTAACAGCGTCCTCAGAGCATTGCCCAATGGCCCTGTTCAAGATTACCCAGTCCCTCCTGGGACAAGGGGGCTCAGATATTCATCTTAAGGGTCACACAGAGGAATTTGTTCAACACTTACAAAGTTGCTCAGATTCATTCCCAGGTAGAACCCATGCATTGCGCTCGATGCTTAGGAAGCAGTTATCTGGGAAGAGTTTCAGTCCTGTTGGACCTGATGAAGTGGACAGGATCCTCAATCCTATCAGTGTCAATTAGATCCATATATCTCTTGGTTGGGGAAAACCTCCAGGATGGTAACTGTCAGGTGGGTTCAGGCAGTGATTAATTCTTCACTGCGGGAAGGGACATTCCTGGGGCCAATCTTAGAGGTCCTGATTTGCCCTCCTAAAAATACCATCTCTTGATCCCACCTGCCTGGGCAATTTTCACCCAGTTTCCAATCTTCTCTTTTTAGAGAAGGTGGTTGTTTGGCAACTTCAGAAGTTCCTACATGAAATGGATTATCTGGAGCCCTTCCAATCAGGATTCAACCCCAGTTATGGGACAGAAACAACATTGGTCACCCCTGATGGGGTCCAGGAGAAGAGCTTTTTCTTCCGTAGCTCTTGCCGTTTGAAAATTGTACCTCCAGAGGTGAGATCCGCACCCACCCTTTTAATTGGCCTAGGGCTCCAAGGGGGGGGGGGACTGTTCTGGAAGTGGCTATTGGAGTAAGAAAGACCACTCTCATCTCTCCCTGCATACTTCGTATTCCTCTCCTCCCCGTCTTTTAATGGTATTTATTTTTTGTTATTTATTGTTTTATTATTTTAATATGTACTAGTTTTAATGTTTGTAAGCCACCCAGAGTAATTTCTGGATGAAATAGGTGGCACATCAATTCAATAAATAATAAGTTCTGGAATTTTTACAAGCTTCAGAGAGCAGCCTGGTGGAAAGAGATCCATATTTAACTTTGGAATAGATTGTAATTTAAACGCTTAACAGGGTCGTTTCTCCTAGGAACTGGAGTTTGCAGCTCCACAGAGAAAGCCAATTGATTTACGACAATCAGTGATAGCCACCAAAGGTGCAAAGCTGAAGTATCCTTCAGTTTATGTTTGCCTAGAGCAGTGTTGTTGCAAGGTTACAGCTTCTCATCTAAGTGTTCCTGAGTCTTGATTCAATAATCAAAGATGTCTCTTTAGATGTTTTGTCAGCTTAAATATTCATCTGCCTAATTTAGAAGCTAATAGACTGACATATTCAATACCAATTGAGTTTAGAGCCCCCTGCCATTCTCTTAAAACACAAAATGTGTTACATCAGTGAAATAATTGAGGGCAATAGAGCCATTTTGTGACATAGCCTAAATGTGGGAGATTAAGCCATATTCTATCACTAGATTGCAAGTATTTAGACCTACTAAAACACAGATAAATGAAAGGATACTGACTGCCATTGATCAAATTTGCTTAGGGCATATTAATTAGGATGTAAAGAAACTAGTTTTACTGGACCCCTTTTGTTGCTATTTAAAAGGCTTAGGACTTAATCCTTGACAGTGTAAAACAAGTAAATGCCCAATTAAAATCAGAGTTGATTATGGGCTGCAGTTTGAAGTCTGGGAAGAAAAATGTGTCATTTCAGATAATAGATTCAACTTACACATTTCAACATCTTTTAGGGAGAAGTAATGGAAAGAGAGAGGCCACAACCCAGCATAGAATCCGTGTGCTTAAGAATGCTCTATTATGTGTTGGTAAAGGGTTGGAAATGTATTAGGCTAATAAGCAGGTATCAACATAGATCTAGTATGTTGTTGAATAATCATTGTTTTAGTAAATACAGTACAAGTCACTCGATCATAATGCACAATTGCTGACATCTTTCTATGCACTCTGAGAAATATTTTTATATTGTGTAACTTCTGCAATTTATAACAGATGATTTTATTAGCTTTGCTAACCAAATATATCTTATCTATTGAGTAATCCTTTCTTGACATCATTGGATATAAGGGAATCAGGACTTCCTGCACTGTTACATAAATAACCTGCTTAAAATAAAGAATTACCTACATGTTTTAGGTTTAATATTATTTCTTTTGGGTTGTATCCTTTTTATAGTTAATAAAATGTTATTGCCCATAAAATGAGTGATTTTCTTTTTTCATCTTAAAAGATTGGTTCACCTTTAATTAGAATCATTGTATGCTAGTTTTGTTGTGGAAAATTAACAATCCCAGCTAAAAGTTCAATTTTGAATTAAAATTTGTACCTTAAAAAATTCATTATCTGCCATGCCATGGTTCTCAACCAACTGATCAAACACACAGCTTTTTGACTGGTTAACTTCATAAAAAAATGTATAAAGAAACCAAAGGAGAGTTGCTGTGGTTATTGATTAGACATTCTAGCTGATTAAACAATTGTGGCCCCAATTAGTTATTTCTGAGTTAAAAAATAAAGTATTTTTTCAGATGCCACCTTTAATATACATATCCACTAGAAATGGGAACTAATAGGAAGACTTTAGTATTTTTATATCATCAAATGTAATTTATTAGAAATGAAATAGAGTACAGGTATGCATATGTACTTGTATCCAATTACTTAAGATGTTTCTCAATTAAAAATAGTTCAGTACGTAGAAAATATATTTTAAAATAGAAAATGACATTTTCTGTTTCTCAGTCCTATGAAGTTTTGCTTCTCTATCGCTAAATCTGATAGAGAAAAACACAGTTCATTCAGGATGCTATTTTGGAGTGAAAAATATCACAGCCCAATAATCACTCCTTCAATGGAGCAGAGTAGCTTGCTGTTATGCCAATCCGGCATCTTTAGCCATACCATAAAAAATCCCTCTGGATGCAATAAGACTTGAAGGAGAGTCAAATTCTGCAATTCTTCCTCTGTCCAGAACTAGGACTCTGCAAAGCAAACAAGCAAAGAAAAAAATTGATTGCTGAAGAGATGCTGGTGGCTATAAAACCATTCTGCTCCTAATTGTGTAATCCAACAGAATCCTTTTCAGTTCTACAAAGGCTCTGAAACATCATTGGCTAAACCACATGAGCAAAAAAAATGACATGAGAAAGGAAAAACCAAATGTGCAAAATAATTGGGTCCGCTTTAGTACAAACGTTTGTTTTTTTGAAGAGTACAGGAATATATCAGAACAGACAGTCCAACGTAACACTTTTTAAACCACTGACAGTTGGAGGTAATGTGAAAAACATTTTAACTGTTAAAAGTTATAAACAATGAATCTGGGAACACTCCTAAACACATTGATCTCCTATCTCCATGATGGCAAACCTATGGCACGCATGCCACAGGTGGCACTCTGAGGACACACCAGCCTCGCCCCAGCCCAGCTCTACCACGCAGGCACCTCCTGCTGGCCAGCTGGTCTTCAGGTCTCTGTTGCACATGCAGGGGGGCATGCGTGGGATGCACACATGCATGTGTGGGGAGCAGGGTGCATGCGGGGAAGAACTCGCATTGCATTTTGGGGATTCATGTGTGTGTGCCCCCAGTGCCCCGTTTTGGAACTGGAAGGCCTCCTGCACCAACCTGGAAGCCAAAAATGGGCGGGGCCAGGGCACATGCGTGGGGTGCATGCAAGACGGGGTGCATGTGCAGGGGCGGGGAGCATGTGCAAAAGGCACTCACATTGCATTTTGGGGATTTGCACGCACGCACATGCACTTTGTGTGCTCAGCACCAAAAAGATTAGCCATCACTGCCCTATCTCAACTCTGACAGCCTGTCCAGGAGGTTATCATGTCTATCTGCAGGGAGACTGGATGGCATGAGAGTTGACCAGACACTAACCAAATCCCCAGTCTATCGCAATTGTCCAATAAAACGTACACCCTTTCCTCAACTGGAGAGGAAGCCTGGGGGGAAAAAAACTCCCTCTCCCTAACCCCCAAATTAGTGTTACGTATTGGTCATACTTAATTACCTGGTGTAATCCATAATTGTATTCAGTCTATGAGCAATTGTTAGTACAGTACAGTCTTCAAACTGTGTTCTTATTGTCATCTGAATGAGATCATCTGTCTCAAGGTCAATTGCTGCCGTGGCTTCATCCAAAATAAGTATCCTTGTTTTGCGAAGGAGAGCTCTTGCCAAGCAAACAAGCTGCCTTTGGCCAACGCTGGAAAAAAGTAGGTGAAAGTTTTTCTTTCAATCAATGGGCATGTGAAGGATGTGGCATTAAGAAAACCTAATGTTGTGCCAAAGAATGATTCAGGGCAGAAACAATTGTTAAGCAGTGGCGTCTGGCTGCTGATACTGTATATCCCATGGAAACTCTTTAAAAAAGAGGAAGCATGGCATGGTGTAATTTTTATTCAGCATGCTCTTTCCTGCTTTAGGCGACAGTCTCATAAATCTCAGCCTCCTCCCCCCCCCCCGCCCTGGTCTCTGTCTCTCATCTAGTCCTAGTTCAAACAGAAATATTTTAGTAAGAAATCTTATTCAAATCATTCCTTATTTGCTGTAACTCTTGTTCTTCCTCTTCTAGCATGTAGGATCTTAGTTAACACATTCTTAAAAATAGAAAAATATAGTTCCATAAAAAACAACACTGCTCTTAACATTTTTCTTAATGCCCCCCCCCCCCAAACAAATGTGAGATTCTGATAAGCTATTTCATTTCGTCTCCACCTTGCCTCTACCATGTTTTGGTTGTGATTAGCACCAAGACCTGTATTGTGAATATAAAGAGGGTACCTCAAGACAGTGCATTATCTATCACGAAAACAGCTTCATAGGACCACAAACATTTCTTTTGTGCATAGAAGGAAAGCAAGAGAAGAAAGAAGTCTCTTCCAATAATGTAGAAACACAGGCAAAGAGGAGGACTTAACACAAACAGTCCCAACCCTGCAGTATATTCTAATGTTACATTTTATATTGTTTCCCTCAATTGATTTATTGATGATGTGCACCCATGAAGTCAGCATGAAATTGGTGCTGCTGACTCTTAGAAATCACATTAGATTTTCTCCAGGAGGATCTGTTTTCCAGCTGGGTATTTCAGGTTTTTCCAACAGTGCACCCAACTTGCTGCAATAGAATCATTCATCCTGCTGCTGGTTTTCTTCTTTTCGTTCCTTCTACCTGTCATGTTCTGTCCTTATTTATGGCTTCCTGAGCTGTCTGTAGGTTTCACATGAGGACAACGAGATGTTCTGTGATTCCTATCTTTCAAAGCACATTCCACAGCTTGACCGTATTGAAGACCTTTTTATAAACATCGGAAAACATTGTCTTAAACAAAATAAAACAATTCAATAGTGTGAAATGTTGCGACACCCAAGAGGAAACAACCTCGATGCTAAGACTGATAAAATGGGGTGCCTGGGGGAGAAATGAAAATCATGAAATGTCTGGGGAAAGAAGAAAGGAAAATGGGAGAGAATCCGATTGGGGAAAGACAGTGGAAAAGATTGGGATAAAAAAGTAGAATAACTAATTGACTAGATAGGTTACTTTTGGTTCTAGCTGACTGCTGTTTTAAACTATTTCCAGGAGTAAGAACTGCCCCCAGATACTGTATTAATAGTTAGACAGTATTCATGTGCATGCACACACATACACAGTTTGCAACAAAGAGTAGGGCAGGAGTTGATGGGATCCAAACATAAAAAAAATCTAATGAGAACTGAGCATAGACAATAAATTGCCGGGAGAAAGGGGATAGGAATGCAGTTGCTGGAACTCATAAGAGAGATATTTCAACATTCTTCTTGAAATGCCTCCTTGTTACACTTAAATCTTCCAAATAAGAACAGTAATTACCTCAGATTTTCTCCTCCTTCTGAACATTCAAATTCGAGCATAGCAGGCTGACTGCTGACAAACCTCTTCAGATGGGACAGTTCAAGAGCTTTCCATATTTCTTCCTCAGAATATTTATTAAAGGGATCCAAATTCATTCGCAGTGTTCCAGAAAAAAGAACAGGGTCCTTAAGAAAATGATCAAACTGGGTTTAGAATACAGTTCTAAAGAAAAATGAATTACCTAGCCATACAGAAATATGCGTTAGGATTTTTCTGAAGTAAATTCTAACTCAAAGAGACACTGAAACAAGGTTGGGTCTATAATCTGCACTCTGAGAGTGAGCAGCCATACCTGTAATATACCCAACCTGCTGGATCAAATAGTAAGGCAGAAGAAGATGGGGGAAGCTGGTCCCATAGGTGACCCAGCATCAAACCATGATGGGCTTTAAAGGTGATCACCAACACATTGAACTATACCTGGAGAATCACAGGCATTTTATTTATTAAATTTATATGCTGCACCTCTCCCTGATAAGGTGTCTCTCTGTAGCTCACAGAGTAGTGGTGTTACATATGCTGAATATCTGATACTATCCATGCAGCCATGTTTTGTACCATATACCAATTCACTTGTATTGTTTATTTTGCTATTTTAATATTCATTTTAATTGTTTGTAAGCTGCACCGAGTCATATGTATAAGATGGGTAGCTATTTTAATAATAAATAAAGCTTCCGCTTGCAGGAACAACTATTTTCTGGCATAGGAAATGATACAACTCTTTTATGCCCCAAAATCTTTTCAGATCGAAAACTTTAGGTCCAAAAGATATAGAAATAGAATATCTTGTTTTTAGGCATCCTGAAAAATCCTTTCGCAAAATAAATGGGAAAGATACATTGATTCTACGTGCAAAGATCATTGTCATTCCATTTCTACATCTCATTTAAACTATGGTGTTTGGTTCCCAACTTACACCTGCCCTGTGACATAAGGCAATTATTCTAACACAAAAATCTGCAATTGCTATTGTTGGGTATACATTTGCAATCCAAAATCCACTGGAGTTCGGCAGCCAATACATTATATACAAACAAATAATCCCCATTAGAATGGTTTAATGCATAAAAGTAGGCTTACTTGGGGAATTATAGTCAGCTTGGATCGCAAGTCATGAAGGCCAATATCTGCAATTTTCACCCCATCAATGGTAATCTCCCCCTTTGTGGCTTCTAGTATCCTGAAGAGGCAGAGGGTCATTGAGGATTTGCCAGCTCCAGTTCGTCCAACAATCCCAACCTAGTTTACAGGTTTGAAGAATCAGCAATGATTAAAATGATGGTCCCACTGAAAGATGGCATGAAACTTGTTCAGGTTATGGTTTATATGCAGTGTTCTTTTTCTTCTTTATGTTATGCTTACAAGACCCTTATCTGTGATCACATGATTGCTATTTTTCATGAAAAAAAGAATAGTCAGAAATCCTATATCAGAAAAGTTGGGAAATAAAGTCAAGGGAACACATACACACACACACACACACACACACACACACACACACAAAATAACCTTTATAAGAGCTATATCAAATATTAATGCCTTTTACATAAGAACTTAATTCCTTTGTACAGTTGATATTTAAATTACATAATTAATTAATTTAATTAATTTAATTGCATAAAAGCAAAGATTCCAAGAAAAAAAAGAAAGAATGGACAATTCTTTGGTTGCCCCATTGAAATAACAACAACAAAGCATCAATTCTACGATTAAGGATACTGAGGACAAAGTAGGTAATGACTTTGATTTAATTTTATTTGGGACGGCGTTTTTAAAAAAAATACTCAACTATCTTATTAAATCAAAAGTTACAAAACTGAACTCTTCCTTTTTAAATGCAGGTAACAGAAAATAAAGATTGATTCACTGCTATGTTAGAAACATACCTTTTCTCCACCTTTTACACTCAAACTGAGGTCTTTCAGCACCAAATCGAGTCCTTTCCTATACCTGACAGAATACTTTGTAAAGACCACTTCTCCCTGGGTGGGCCATTCCTCTGGAGGTCTTTTATCCTCTATGATCCAGGGTGCCTGAATGTGGAAGGAGTTACAGGATACCGTGTTAGCACTTGAACCATGCTTTCAATTCTGACAAAATATATTGCACTAAAAGCTCCACAAGTATAGTTGTATTTAGTCTTCTGCTAAATATTAACATCAAGTGGCTTGTTTACTGAATCATCTAAAAGAGTTGGTAGGGTGGTAAGGTCTTGGATTGGGTTTCAAATTATTTTTTTGCAAATTTCATGGAGGTATCTGAAAATCGGTCACAAAGGAGGAGAAGGGTAGCCTCACAGTTATAAAAGTAACCAAGCTTTCTAACAATAAGTAGTACAAAGTTAATTTGCCATTGTGTATACAGTTGGCATTTTAGAAACACATGTGAAACAATTTCAGCCTCTGCATCTGCGCGTAAGCTTTTCTGATGCATGTAAGGGAGGCCAGTATATCTGCCTGATGTCACACAAATTGATTGTGGGGATAAAACAAAGGTGTAAAATGCCATGAGCTCTAACAGGAAAGGCCAGCTGTAAATTTAATGAATCATTATGTAAACAAATAAACCTTTCTTGAATACAAAGCATTTTGTACATAATTTCGTTAAGGATAAGACTCACAAAGGCTGAAATATATGCTACTTTGCTAATGAATATGCCTGGTGGATCTCATTAGCTACACAATCACTTCCTGTGATGTGCAGCCATATATCTTCTTTTTCTAGCTTCAGACTCTTTGTTTTTGGGCCTTCAAGCCAGACTTGATTTCTAGCAACTATTTGGGTCTTTTTTTTGGGGGGGGGGTAGTATTTTCAGAAGTGGTTTGCCACGGCCTACTTCCTAAGGCTCAGCAACAGTGACTGGCTCAAAGTCTTTCAGTTGGGTTTGTGCCTAAGGTAGGACTAGAACTCAGTTTCCTGTTTTCTCCTCTTGAGTGCCTTTAATCACTGCATCAAACTGACTCGTAGCTTGAATAAGTATAAAATATACAAACTTTCAGAGCATTCTACACTTACTGGAATGGTAGGTGGGATTGACCCTGGGAGATAGGGCAATGAGACATAGCCAAGGGAACATCCAGATAAAAGGCATCTTAGCCCATAGCAGGGCTGTGAGCAGGACAAGTGGCTCAGAAGAGACCCTGCCTAGTTTCCTGGGGTGTAAAGGGGATGGGGTGGAGAAAGGGATGTACTTTCAGACTTGTAAGATTCTATTAATATAACCTTACTACAAAATAGAATTAGTTCATCTGGTTGTGTTTCCTATCTGGTATTCCTTGTATACCAGATAGGAAATTTGTAAAAAGATTTGTAAAAAGGAATGTGGTGACTCAGTGGCTAAGATGCTGAGCTTGTCGATCAGAAAGGTCAGCAGTTCGGCGGTTCGAATCCCTAGCGCCATGTAATGGACTGAGTTCCCATTATTTGTCCCAGCTTCTGCCAACTTAGAAGTCCGAAAGCATGTAAAAAATGCAAGTAGAAAAATAGGGACCATCTTTGTTGGGAAGGTAACAGCGTTCTGTGCGCCTTCAGCGTTGAGTCATGCCGGCCACATGACCACGGAGACGTCTTTGGACAGCACTGGCTCTTCAGCTTTGTAATGGAGATTAGCACTGCCCCCTAGAGTCGGGAATAACTAGCACATATGTGCAAGAGAAACCTTTACCTTTACACGTAAAGCTGACCCAGATGTCCTCATTTTTCTTAAATATTACAGATATGCATAGCACTAGAGCTTCCATTATATAAATTATCTGTAAATATCTGTTGAACACATCTGTTGATCACATAAATTATCTGTTGCATGAAAACATGCAAACATTCAAGTTACGTCTCTTTGTCAGGCAAAATAGAATATAACATTTTGCTTAGATTATTTTTGGAGCAGATTGCTACACACATGGCTTTGTACGGTCTCAGTGCCATAACAGCATGATTACAAGGATGCCAAATATAAACACCCAAAAACTTCTATTTCTATCAACTATAAAGTTAAACATTTGAAAATGCCTCACTAAAAATAGTGAAGCTTCAAATAGTTAACAGTTCCAGCACTGTGATATTAATGTCCAAGAAGAGATGCATTACATTCTTTGGGTAATGTGAGTAAAATCAATTGTATTTACAACAATTTTTAATCTTCCTTGGAATAACAGAACTCCTAGCATCCTAGTTAGTGCCAATGGCAAAGAATTCTGGGAGGAATTATGTCAATAACATTAAAAGGTTCATGGGGATGGCAAACTTGCATGTTACGTACTGTATTGAATAATATAGTAACAATGAATGACATTGAATAACAATGATAGCACTAATTTTTACCAAGAAAAACATATTGCCATATACTGTTATATCTTTCATTGTTGCAACTCAATGAAAGCAAAACAACAATAGTTAAGGTGCAGGCTGAAGCCACTCTATATTATGTATGGAATAGTCTATAGCAGCGATGGCTAACCTTTTTATGGATCATGTGCCAAAAGCGGGGGGAGTGCAGGGGGGTTGTGTGTGGGCTTGCCAAGTGACTTCCGGTTTGCTCGTAGAGTCGTTTTTTGCCCTCCGGAGCCTTAAGGGAAGTCACCTGAAGGCTCCAGAGGGTGAAGAACAGCCCTACAAGCAAACAGGAAGTGACTTCTGGATTGCTCGTAGGGCCATTTTTTGCCCTCTGGAGCCTTCAGGGAAGCCTCCTGAAGGCTCCGGAACGAGCAAACCAGAACAAGCAAACCAGCCCCTAGGAGCAAACCGGACGTCGGTTCCCAAACATCTGGTTTGCCTGTAGGGCTGGTTTTTTGTGCTCCGGAAACCTCCAGAGGGTAAAAAAACGGCCTTAAAAGAAGGCCAAAGCCAGCTGGCCAGCGCGCACATGAGTTAACAGGGCAACGCCTCACATACCCTACCAAATGGCTCCGCATGCCACCTGTGGCATGCATGCCATAGGTTCGCCATCACGGGTCTACAAAATAAATGCTCTTCCTTAATTTAGGAGTGAATGTATTTTCCAATACTGTGTTATTTCTGAAATGAAAGCAAAAATATGATATATAACTCATTAATCTTGTGTGGGTTCCATTCAGGGCTAGAGTATCTCAGGGCAGAAATATGAGTTAAGTCAACCACCAAAAATCACTTCATGGTTGAAGAATGCAAGGTTGGATATCTGTGCAACTGTGGAAAAAGTATAATTAAACCACCCTGGTTCTAAAAAGATTTCTACTTCATGTTGATAGAGGGTAACAGTCTCTTAATGGAACTTCATTCTAGTATAGAACCAGAGTCTTATCTAGCTATTTTCGGTCAAAAGTCTGAGTAGATTATGCTGAGTTCAGTCTGAGGAACCTGAAATATGTAGCACCAAATTAATCCCAGTCAATAGAGGAATTATATATTTACATTGCAGCTTGGTTTTTTGTTTTTTTTTGAGAAAAAAAATCCCCCCCAGAGAAACTCACCTCAGTTTCATTTTCAGAGTATTCTTTCACTCTTTCTACAGCCACAATATTGCTTTCCAGATCAGATGTCATTCGTACCATCCAGTTCAGAGACATTGTCACCTACACAATGATCAAAAAAGTATTACCTTGTGACAGAAGGTAATCATGGCTACAAAAAGTAACCCAGATACTGTAGCTACCATTGGCAGAGATATTTCTAAAATACAACTAAGCAGTATTTTTCCATAGCATGTCTTTAAAAGAGAAGGCCGAAAATCCAGATGTTATGCAGTGATCAACATTCCTAATACTTATGATCTATCTTCTTTGTAGAGAAAGAGAATTCTTTACTTGGAAAGGCCGTGCTGATACTGTGTTTTGACCCCCAAAATAAGTGCTTGGTGTGGAGGTCTTATTATTTTTGAGGTGCAGGAGGAGGTGAGTGTGGTCACCTCATAGCTGCTGCTGTGTTGCAATATTTTCAGGGAGGACTTATTTTCAGGAGAGAGCTTATTTTAGTGCATGTGCTCAAAAGCCCAATTGGGCTTATTATCTGGGGAGGTTTTATTTTTGTGGAAACAAGGTATCAAGATTATCTGTAGGGAGGACAATGTCACAAGAGGATCAAAGCTGAAACTTCAGATTGGAAGACCAAGTAGCTTCCAGTTATATGACAGCAAAGTTGAGGAAATAATCCTTAGGAGCTTTTTATTCAACTTTCCACGTGAGGTACTTATAATACTTTAAAGGTTAAGAACTGATATCTGAGTTTGTATTTTTTTTTTCTACATTTGGGTCTATTTTGAACTTGTACGGTGCTCTGGCTTAAATGCAGAATAAAAATAAAAACTAAATAAGGAAAAGGCACCGAAACTTTTTCTAAACCACAATATCTTTACTACTGTATCTTTAATTATACTGAAACTACCTAAGGCTTGTATTGTTTCTTACATTCCATTTAAAAATATGTAAGACTAGAATTAGTTGCTATGCCAATCTGAATGTGTAACCTTATTGTTACCTGGGATAGAGATTCAATCGATCTGCTTCCTATTGCCGTAATCTCAACTTTAATAGCTTTTAAGGCTGCATGGCCCAATTCAAATCCTTTGATCTTCCCAGATGCTGTAAGTCCCAAAGTTCACAAACAATTTTACTACTGCAGATTGCTGTTTCTAAATGCACGTTGTCAATGTTGTGCACATTTTAAAGTGAAGCCCAATCTTTTGCTTTTCAATTTCAGGGCCACATAATCCACCCTGCCCTTAGCCAAACAGATGTCTTCTCTCCCCACCTCCCTTCATACTAAAAGTGAAGTTAAATCCCTGACAGATTGTGCAGTCTGATAGCTTTTGTAATATGCTGTTGTTAACTAAAGGCCTTTTGTTAGAAAAGATGTGGAAGCAAGCAGTATATCTTAACATGGTTTCTCCTCAAATACAAGCAGAACACAGCCTTAGAAAGGCCCCGTTAAAGAAGGACCCCCCCTATGCATTCTGGTTTATTTACCACCACTGGTTGTCATCTTAGTCTGCAATAATCATTGTCGCTTCCTACTAACTTGCATGTGAAGCCTGCACAGCTGGGCAAGATCAAAGAAAAAAGGACAACCCAGAGTCTAGGAAGATTGTGAAATGTCCCCACCCCCAATTTCTTTCCATCTGGACCAAGTTGTTGTTTATAAGATACGCTGTCAAATGACTTACCCATTATCTCTTGACTACTGATATCTGATCTTTCTTCCCCTCTGTTCCCAGCCTCCTCACAATATTTCACTCTGCAACTGCTTCTAATATTGCCATTGGCTTTCTCTTCCCAAAAGCAACTCTACCTTGATTTGAGTCTAGACTACTTATTGTTTATGATTATCTCTTCTGTTGGACTGAGGCTAGACAAAGACTCTGATTTCTAAGCCCAGGAAACATGGTTAACAACCAGGCTGGGCATGCATGCTGATGGCAAGAAGGCATTATCAAACAATGGCACAGTAAGAACCACAATTGCAGCTATATCTCCAAAATGGGACAACATGTCCAAAAGATGGCAGAGGAGAGACATTTTCAGCTATATTATCATCTGCATGGAGAACTCCCTCCACAAGATGCACAGTTACTTGGTACCTGTGTTAATGTCTCTTGGATACCAAGCAAACATTTCATTTTCCCAAATGTTCAATCTGTGCTTAACATGCCTTTCATGTACATGATACAGCCGTGTTCCCTTCACTGTCCTGCTCATTAAAGGTAAAGGTTCCTCTCACACATATGTGCTAGTTATTCCCAACTCTAGGGGGCGGTGCTCATCTCCGTTTCAAAGCTGAAGAGCTAATGCTGTCTGAAGACGTCTCCATGGTCATGTGGCTGGCATGACTAAACGGCGAAGGCGCACGGAACATTGTTAACTTCCCACCAAAGGTGGTCCCTATTTTTCTACTTGTGTTTTTACATGATTTAGAACTGCTAGGTTGGCAGTAGCTGGGACAAGTAACGGGAGCTCACTCTGTTACGTGGCACTAGGGATTCGGACCGCCGAACTGCCAATCTTTCAGATTAACAAGTTCAGCATCTTAGCTACTGAGCCACCGTGTCCCTCGTCCTGCTCATTACTGCTTCCTAAATCAGCACAACCCAAGACATAAGAGGCAACCCACTGCTGTTCATTCCATATCTTCTTATATTCTTACTTTGCCACAAAAAAGGAGGGAGGGAGGGAGGGAGGGAGAGAGAGAGAGAGAGAGAGAGAGAGAGAGAGAGAGAGAGAGAGAGAGAGAGAGAG